CCCCTTAAAACCCCCCCCCCCCCCCCCCCCATGTCCATCTCTTAGAGCTGGTCGCGCGCATAACTGGCTTTTCATGGTTAGGGTTTATATTTGACTGGAGTAGGAGGCAAAATTACGAGTAACTACTCCATAGTACTCGTCTTTTACTCCGCATTTTAACAGCATAGGCCTAACATTGCGAGATACTGTCGATAAAAAAAAAATCTCAAAAAAAAAAAAAAGAAAAATTTAACATGTCTCCTGCTCTGACACTTCACTTCAGACTATTGTCAGGGTTTTCAGTAATTGAGGTGGTGCAATTGAAGGCGAGGGGGGGGGGGGGGAGAGGGGGGAAGGAAAAATTGAAGAAAGGATTAAGATTCCTATTAAATGAAAAGCATCAAGACAAAGCCAAACACACTCAGCACTGGGAGAATATTCTTTGGTGCGCTGTGTAATTAGGTTGGAATGTTCAAAACTAATTGAATGTTAATAGTTCTATGTATATTTTAACCGTGCCGTATTTTTTCCTTCAAAGCGGGACATTTTAATGGAGAAATCATGCTGCGGTGTAAATGAAATTCCAAAAAATAAAATTACAATGCACTGTACAATGAAAGATATTATGTTATCTGAGCTAGAATGACATAAAATACCATTTTTATAACTAAAGTGAATCTGAAAAGGCGCTGACAACGTTATTGGCTGCGTAGAAACAAATAGGCCTACATCTTCAACATATTCAAACGAAAACTCTCTTGTACTTAGCAAAAACTTCGATAAAAAAGAATCAAAAAGGCTCGTTACTTACTTTTTGTGGAAATATTTGACTATTAAGAAAAATGATAAAAAAGGTTACCTTAATTAGGATCTCCGAACATCTGTTTCTGTCGTCATATCTTTCTCACTCGCTGGTTTTCACCTCAGGCAAACGTTTTACGATGGCGAACTGAGAAATCAAAGAAGATTGTCGAGAGACTGTAGAAAATCGACCGCTCGGTTCTATAAATGCGTAGAAAATGATATCTCAAACAGAAGGATGGTTCGAATGGTTACGGATACCTCGGTAACGAGTGAACTAATCCGAAGCAGATTTCCCCCCAAGTTAACCTTTTCACATCCTTACAGCCTAAATTTGACGTGAATCCGACGGAAAAGCATCCGCTCCCTCTCTCTCATTCACTCCGACTATCTATTTCTCTTTTCTTGTTATGTGTGTGTCTTTCTCTCTTCTCCGTTTTCTGCTCAAATGGCGGGTTTGTGTCTCGTTCAGTGTAACCCGTGGAGCAAGAGGGCCGGCCGACCCCTCGCAGTTTTCCTGCCCGGTGACTGACTGACGTGTAGTTCCTGGCAAAATAACAACGAAAGGTGTTGATTCCCAATCAGAATTATCGACACGCTTTTCCGAAGCCCCTTTTACAACGAGCACTCCCCTCTCGGGGCATTATCAATATTTCCCCTTTGGAATTTCACCTGCTATCCAGAAATTGCAATAAAATCATTAACTGTTCCTTTTCAATTTCACCAGTTTCGAAGATCCCTAGAAACGTTCATCTTTATTCGAAGAACCTGGTGCCAAAAGAGGCTGTATTGATAACAGCGTTATGAAAACAAAAAAATGACTTATTGGTAAATGAAACTGCGAGGCCCTGGCCGTGGATAATTGCATGTTAACATAGATGTTATGACCCCATGTGAGAATAACATCAAAATGTTGCTTTTCTTGTTAAGAGATTCGTACGCACGCAAGGTTATCGTAATTTGTGATCTCTCTCTCTGAAAAGATCACGTCAAACGAAGCAAGGAAAGATTTCAGAAGCGGTTATAGGTAGTGTTAATTAACTGAAAAGTGTAGTTTTACTCTTGCGGAAAATAGCGAAACTGGCAATAATATTTTTTCCGGTAAAGTAAAACAAGTCTCAGAAGAAAAGGTTTTCGATGCAACTGTGAATGAACTAAATAGCAGGGCTGGCCTTGAAATTATTTTACTGTTACTTTTATGATAACGACTGGAGAATTTTAGTGTCGTGAAACGCTTTTAAGAAATAACTGTATGAATGATACTATGGTGTTTTGTGCACATATTTGCCAAATATAGCACTTAGTAAAATTTGCCGTCTTTACTCAACAAATGAATGAATAAAATATATAGATAAATGCCAAGGCAGACTATTAAGTTTTTTTCTCATGCTAAGTAAAACGCTGCAGGAAATTGGTGGACGGTCGACTGCACGCGTTTGGCTTATAACAATGTCGAATTTGTCACTCCGAAACGCGGCTCTGTTTCTAATAAAAATTCACCGCTTAATTGGTTTGAAGTACATTGTTTTCAAAAATGCCTTTCCAGCCAATGGAAAAGAACGTGGATTAAATTTCAACAACAAGACTTAGCCAAAATTGTTCAATTCGTCGGAAGTTGCTCTGTTTTCTATTATGCTTTGTCGAGAAAAATTTTACTGTTAATCGGGATCTTTCCGGGTTGCTTTCCCATGAAAGCGTGAAATTTTTCATTGTAAATATGAGAATGTTGCAGGAATTGTTGAACACGGCGTCTCGCCAGCATGCATATGCATCTTCAACAACGTTCAAAATCACTGCTAAATACCCCTTCACCTATCTTCACGGTGTATTCATTAATTCCTCTAAATCCAATTAAGATTAATCTTTATACCCCCCCCCCAATGTAAATTAATTTAAATTAAAGCAAGACAGAATAACACCTTCACGCCATGACAGCTTTGATACAAGTATTCTCCCCCGGGTATGCTCCCTTTGACGATTCCATTGAAGGCCAATAACATCCACCCTGTGTTTCAGAGAACACTGGAAATTAAATTATCAGCATGCTTCAGCCGTTTAATCATGGCAGGGACGGATCCAGAGATATTTTCTGACAGCCTTCCAAATTTTCTTTGTAGATCCATCCTCCAATTTTGACCGTCTTCCGACACAAAACATAGATACCCGTCAATGTAAACTTGACAATCTTCCGGAAGACCCAGAAGACGGCCTCAATGCGCCCCTGCATGGTCAGAGTCTGGCTCACACCTACTTGGACATATTATGTCCAAGCACCTAATATATAGAGGGAGGCAAGTTTTCAGTGCCCCCTGAAGCTCAGGGTGTGAATCTCTGAAACTAAGGCAGAACATTTGTAATAACACTCGGGATCTAGTTAGACAAAATCTCTATAGCATTATTACATGATCACTAGGAAATCACAAGGTATTTCAAGAAACAAGTGCTTTGATTAGATATTACCTCGGTTGTGAGGGCAGCATCCAATTATTAAATGATTTTAAGTCACAAAGTTACGATGAATTACATGAAATGTTTGAAAAATTACTTTGGTTTTGCCCCCCCCCCCCCCCCCCAAGTTTCAGACTCTCGGTGACTCTTCTTATCCAGCACGTAAATATGCCCCCCCCCCCCCGCCACAGATTACCACCCTGTGTTTCATAACACTGACTTCTGCCCATAATACACTCTTCTACACTATTTAAGTATAAGGAAATCGTGTTATTTAAAGAGCTATTATATTTAGGAGTACCCGAAATTACATCATGGCATGCCAGAGTCGTGGTTCAGAATATCGTAAGGAGTCAAACACTAACAGTGATGCAAAAACACTCTGAACGTTGTATTTGATATTTTAGAATAAAATTTTCACTGACAACACGCGCAAGCCACCAAAACCGATATGATACCCATGCCATTTGTTAAGACAGGTACAAAAAAGGTTAATTACGTGACATGAATCTCCAGACTTTTTGCGGAGACTGGCTGTTCAGAATGATGTTACTTAATCACTTACGTTTTGAATTGCAAATTCATCAGGTTAATTGATTCTACCACATGCATATGTGTTATCTCTGCTTTTGTAGCGTATTTCTATTTCCCTTTCCGTTTCATTAATGTTTAACAGTAACGGAGCTGCTAGCATATATCGCTAACTCTTTTCTTCGATTCATTAAAATTTCGGTGCAGTGTACTAGTATATGCTCTCTTGTGCATCTTTATCATGTTTTACCCTCCCCCCCCCCCCCCCACCACATACACACGCCTGCCCCCGAAAAACTCAGGTAAGCACTCTAATTTTTAACTTGTCAAACGTAGATCATAATACATGTATGAAATGATGTTTCTTTTAGCATATCTAGCCCCAGACTTCCCAATAACCATATAATCCTATTGGACCTTCCTTCTATATTTATAGTATATTTATTATAGTATATAGGCGATAAGGCGAGTTGCGGGCAACCAGACCCCTTCCAAATAGCATTACCGATCAAGGTAAATCTAATTACATCGCTATGCCTGGTGTATCGAGACAGATTTAATTAAGGTGGGATGGTAAGTAGAATAGACGTAACATCTGACCCTTCACTCAAGGCTAGCTGTGCCCTCTTCGACTACACTACGTATACCTATATAGTACCGGTATATGTCTAATATGAATAGGGACGGTCTTTTAAACCAGCGTAGTTTGGCTTTGGATCGAGTAATAATTTAAAAAAACCGGAATTCTTCCCTCTTTTTACAGAGAATATTTGTATTTTATTAAATGAGATATTTTATTCTCTAGAAGTAACATCGAGTTGCTATCAGTGACATTTTGTATCATGATGATGGTAATGACGATGATGCGTGTGTGCGTGTACATGTGCGTTTTACCTCACACACATGCAACATGTACACGCACACACAATGACACGTACCCACAAACACGATATACAATTTTCCTCTCCTTGCGTCTTCTTCATCATCATCATCTTCTTGGTCTTCTTCTTCTTCTCTCTCTCTCTCTCTTTCTCACACACACACACACATCAGTCCGGCACATCATCATCGTCGTCAACATCATCATCATCTTCATCATCATCACACAAAATGCTACTGATAGCCCTTTTTTGCATACGACTGCTTGCATGCAGTGATATGTTCACTTCGATACATATGCCTGGGTGCAAATTACCATCTGATATATTTTACCTGATTACCTCACAGAAGAGAAGCAATCAGAAAATAAATTTAGCACTTTGTTGCACAGCGGGACCGTAGCTAGGTAAACTTGTTACTGTTTCACTTGTTTTTCGAGTAATTCACGAGGGAAAGGGGAAGAAATCTCGGCATGAGGGCAGTTTACTGAAATAACAATTACTGAAGAGGTGGAATTTTCAAAGCAAATGCCATTTAAAAGAGTAATCGGTTTGCGGGTAAATTTTCGGTTTCTTTTTCACGTTTTCTTTACGAGCCTTTTGAAGGAGAGAGAGAGAGAGAGAGAGAGAGAGAGAGAGAGAAAGCACGGAGGAAAAGATGTAGCCAGCCAGAGCAACGCGGAGTTAGAGCGCCTCACAAGTTGTTTAAACATCCCGTTGTCGTTAACAGCTGTGTATGTAACCCAGTTCAACAGAACATTACCAAAGATTAGCAATTGTTATCTGTGGAACACAAGTCTATCAAAGTCCGACTTCAACACAAATAGAAACCTCTTTGAAGGCGTATGTGTTTTCAAAGTCTATCAAAGGGTTGGCTGCGGGACAAATATGTTATTATTGCTTTTAGATCATGGTTACGCTCGTGTTACAAGGGCGGCCGGAAAGAATTAAGCCGAGTTTCACAAATGACCACCCTGAGTTCCAAAGGTCAAAGTAAAATTAAACTTGCCTCTTTTATCAACAGTGATGGAAAAAGCAGACATGCTATGAATAGAGGGGAGTTTACAATAACTTCGGCACTCAGGGTGCAGATGACCGATGTTGAAATGTATTGGATAAAGAAAATAGTGTCTTCATGTGATGTGGCGTCCTATGTTTAATTTTTTATTTACCCTACTACAAAAATATATATTTATTTGGAATTATTGAAAGTAATTGACTGAAAATGATAAAAAGCTTATTTTTATCTGGCAGCTTGTCAGCTAATGTTAGCCTGAAACTGGGACCTAGCTATTCCACGAAGTGAATATATTAAGACCAAAAGTTTTTTAAAATGTATATAATGCACACTTCGTTAGTTGGGAAAAACTAATCCTTAGAGTCCCACGATATCAAAAGATGAATTTTGTTTCACTCGAAAGCACAACACTACTTTCCAGTGACAAGGTTATTTCATAATATGCACTCCCACACTAACTAGTATAAACCAGGGACGAGACCAGTCCTCACTGAAATTGTAGGAAAATTGGCCGAGGGTCCAGGGTACACGATTCACAAAAATGACCTACATGACCTTGAAAAAGTCGGAATTCCGACAAAAGTCGGAAAAGTTTCATCAGTGATAAGCAAATAAAATACTGAATTATCAACAAAGCACCACCATTTTCAACAATAACATATATTTCTTAGTCAAAATAATGTGTTCATGTATATAAAGAGATCATACATTTGTTGGGTAAATATACCCCTTGGGATTTTTTTTTCTAAATGCTAAATGACTACAACACAGCTGTTTTTTTTTGTGTGATAACAACAGCGTACCTTATATCCTGCTCCTTTAAAAATATCGTAATTTTTTTATACATAATTGTTTTGGCCGTATACTGAATATCAAACACGACTTAGACAATGAGATAAAAGTTTGGAAGTGCGTCGGACAGGAATGGCGACAGCAACAGGTGATCAGAATACTGTATTGGAATATTTAGATACTAAAATACACAGTCATAATCATATTGATACATACACATGTATAATTGATAACCATACCACCTCTTAAATGTTCAGTTTTCCATTACCTGATTTTGAAAAGTTTTTAACTCGTTTGTTAAACTTAACGAACGTATATCCTCTTTGGCAGTGACATTTAACATCAAAACAACCTCTGCTTTCATTTTCACAGTAGACTCTGCTTAGTTTGTAGTCAACAATTATGTAAAGCCTAGCATAGTTTGTTTTCTTGGTACTTTGGCCCCTTTTGAGCATTTTTTCTTCTTGCTATAATAATTTGTGTACATGACTCTCCGTTCATATCTGCTATTGCAAGTTGATATATGTCTTGAGCAAATGGGGTAATGGAAGATTCATCAGATCACCGGTGTCATGAGACCTCAGATTTTTCAGAATGATGCGCCTAGATAGTTCCAGGAGGCTTGGGGGTTTATTACAAGCATCAATCAGCCAAGCCATATCCTCCATAACCGAATCCTCGGACTCGTCCTCGGTAGAAATTGGCTGTTGTCGTAACCACTCTCGAGCTGGAAACAGGTCGCACCCAGCTGCAACCAGTAGCTTTGCGATTTCAAAATGGCCTGTCTCCAAGGCAACAGCCACTGGGGTGAATTTGTCAAGATCGCAGTTATTTTCAATCAGCAACCTGGTGATTTCTTTATGGTTCTCCTCTGTTGCCAAAAGCAATGGTGTCTTTCCAGTGTTGTGATTTTGTAAGTCGGGATCTGCGCCTGCTTCAAGAAGTAACCGCACACTCTCAGCATCATTGTGGTTTATTGCTAGAAGCAGAGGTGTCACAGAGTAAAACCCTTCTATTCCATCATTGACATTACATCCGGCCTCTATCAAAGCTTTGATATTGTCATGGCGCCCGCAGCGAATAGCAAGAGCCAGAGGGGTTGAACGCAGCTGGCCGTCATATGCATTGATGTTCGCACCGCTATCTTTAAGCATTTTTATCACCTCCGAACGATTTTTGTTACACGCTGCATGGTGTAGTGGCGTATACCCACCATGGTCTATAGCATTCACATCTGCTCCTCTTTCAATTAAAAGTTTTACAATACTGAGGTAGTTATTTCGTACAGCCTCATGCAAAGGCGGAAACTCGTACCCATTCACCTCGCAGTTGGCATTGAGCAGCAAACTGGCAATCTCTGTGTAACCATAGGTGGCAGCAATAACAATAGGAGCTTTGTTCAGTGTAGTGTCCATGGTGTCCGGGCAGGCTTTTCTTGCAAGTAGTTCCCTCACCATCTTCAAAGAAAATAAAATCTGTTAAAGAGACATTAGCGCCTTTTTTTTATATACAAGCCAACCCCTAGCATTGGAATTTTCATCTCTCTTTGGATCTCTACATATTAAAGTTCTTGTTAACTGCAAATGAAAGCAATAAATAAATGCCTTCATGCATTAATTCCACCAACATTTAAATCCCCATTTCACAGTTATTGTACAGACACTTTTGGTATATACAAGGTACAGCAGCTGTTTCTTTCTTATTATAAAACAGTATAAAACAGGAGCCATAATTCATTTCATTGGATTAGTACTTAATTCTACAGTCAAAGTAAAATAAAATTTTGGGCTAAACATTGATACAAACTTTTTTAAGAAGTGCTTTTGTGAAACAAGACCCCATTAATAAAGACATACCTCTGTGTTCCCATAAAAAGTTGCCCAAGCCAGTGCGGTTTGCATATTCTTGCTGGGTTTATCAATATCACATCCAGCATCGAGCAGAACTCGGACAGTGTCCAAGTGTCCACCCCTTGCAGCCAAGGTCAGGGCTGTGTCCCCCGAGACTGTGGCATCTATATCCATTCCATGCTGGAGGAGAAGTTTAACACAATCAGACCATCCTCCTGAAATATCAGTTATAACAAATGAGTTCAGTGAACACAGATATATGATTTTAAATCAGAAGCAACCAAAATCTTATAGATAAACAGTAATCTCTCAAAATAATCTGTAACAAAAATTAACGACACTGTACTTATACCAGATATTTTATTTATTTCATTATTTTAATTTCTGCCCCATGTATTTTGGTAAGTACATGTGTATATTCTATTTACCTCTTGCAGCACAAACCACTACCTCATCTGGTACTTCCATTGAGCTGTCAAGATGGGTTTTTAACCCTTCTAAATCCTTTCTCAATGCTGCATCCAGCAGACCACTGTAAAGATAATAATTAATGTAGAACTGATTAAATAAATGACAGAACTTTTATTCAGGCGTGTTAAAGGCAATCCAAATTTCACTCTCAGGAAATCACAGAGACTATTCTGACACTTGCTCCACTTAGAACTCTACTAAACTTGTTTAAAACTGTCAAATCCCAAAAGATTGATATTAGATATACCTTCACAGAATGCTTTATAACTCCTATGTAAATTTTAACTGAATTTATTTCTGGGTGTTGACATAAAATAACAAGGGTGGCACATGAAAGTCCTAATACTTTGGTATTTCACGTGATTTAATGTAGAAAGAAAATACAACTGATGAGTTGACTAGGGCTTCGTTCACATGCAATGTCTATTTTCTAAATTCTATTTTCTGTTCGCGCTATCTTATGATCACGGTCTATGCCCTGAATATCCCGCCGCGTAATTACTGGCAGCGCGAGCCAGTTACTTATAGTAACTCATAGTAACTGGCTCGCGCTGCCAGTAATTACGCCGCGGGATATTCAGGGCACAGACTGTGATCATAAGACATACCGCAAATAGAAAATAGAATTTAGAAAATAGACATTCCATGTGAACGAAGCCTAGAACAAGACTTACAATAGTTTTGTATGACTAATTAGCAAGGGTTTTATCTGCACCTTCATTCCTTGCATCAGTGTGTGTGTGTGAGAGAGAGAGAGAGAGAGAGAGAGATTACAAACAAAATTAATAATATCAGTTTATTTGCTTACACAATATTTTTCTTAAACCAACTAATAGTATTAAGTTGTGTTGAAATATGTGTTCCTGTTTAAAATTTATTGTAGTAAAAACAGACAGCATGTGTGGTATTTTGAAAAATAAAATACTCCTGATGAATGTTTGCTGCTATGGTTGGCAACAGTACGTAAGGAACTTTTTGTCATTATTCAAATGACACTCAAGTGTGTTATTACTTTTTATTTTTTTAAGTTCTTTGATGTTACCTCAATCTGCTGTCCCTTTCCAGCTCCATATTGTGTCTTTTAGCACTGGCTTTTACATGATAACACCCAACTAACAGGGCACAGAGACACAGATCCTCCAGCTGTTGCAATGCTTGTTTTTCTTTATGACCGTTAGATGGCGGTATATGGCAAGATAAGGCACAGGTAAATGAGTAGTTTAATTGGGTGATTTTTGTATTTAAATGCATCATAAATAGCATATATCACTTATGTTCTACCAGTCACACCAGTTCACGTAATTTTGTAATGTAGAACAAATGATAACAAGAAAAAGTCAGGTATTCTAAAACGTTTTCCATGCTAACTTTGCGCCACCTATCAAATACTGTGTCCACTCAACATGTGTTCTTGAAGTGAAGGAGGTAAGAAATATTAAAATGATAGCTCTTTTTCAAGAAATCTATATATTTTAAGCTGTTGCAGCTGATAATTTGTCACTCATGACGTATTCTGCCCCCATTGAAGTAAGAAAAGATCCGCGTGTAATTATAAAATGAATTAAAAAATAATTTGTTGTTGATGGACATTTGTATATTTACTGTACTAAATTAAGTTATATGGGACCGACTTGTATGTTGCATTGTTGGCCGATGCCATAGTACTACACCTGTACATAGCGGTGTCCCTGAATTGCGCAATATAGCGCATTCCCCCATCGCACTTTGAAGCATATAATTAACAGATAAAGTCATATTGTATCAGTTCACGAATTGGGCACCAGAGTTTCTATCCAGTATTGGTGTAACTTATGGTGTTATGAGGTATTGATATCAGAAAAAAATTAAAATGTGCCAGATATAAACACAGATTACATCTTCTGAAAGGTCTTTTTATCCAGAATTTTATACTTTTGTAATTTTGATATTACCTCTAAAATTAAAGGTAATATC